CACCTCGCCAAGCGAGAGGCACTCGCGGCTGTTTATAAGCCCTAAGTGCATAGACGATGAAGAAGAGGCTCAATGCTCACCTGCACGTTGGTTAGCTTCAAGCCTTGAGGAATATGGTAGACTGCACAGAGCTATGTGCAGTGCAATTGACACTATTCCGAAAGGCTTGAAGCAAATTCACGAGCATTGCGCCTCTTTTTTATTAGTTGTGATTAACTTAACTAAAAAATGAGCATAGATGCTTATTTTTAATGACTTATTTTTAATAGTTGTGATTAACTTTACTAAAAAAATGAGCATATATGCTTATTTTTAATGACTTATTTTTAATAGTTGTGATTAACTTTACTAAAAAAATGAGCATAGATGCTTATTTTTAATGACTTATTACAATTCAGAAATAAATAGAAGAAAAAATAGTTGTGACTAACTTAACTAAAAAATGAGCATAGATGCTTATTTTTAATGACTTATTACAACAGAAAAAAATATAGCAGAAAAGAAAAAAAACTATATAAAAAACTACTCAAAAAAAATAGAAGCAAAAATAGTTCTGATTAACTTAACTAAAAAATGAGCATAGATTCTTATTTTTAATGACTTATTACAACTCAGAAATAAAAAGAAAAAAAATAAATATAGCAGAAAAGAAAAAAACTATATAAAAACTACTCAGAAATGAGCATAGATGCGCTTATAGAGAAAATTAGACCTAAATTCATAATAAATTTCTACTAACTTCAGAGAAATTCAATATGAATTTAGGTCAAATTTCCTGTATAAGGGCATCTATTTTCATTTTGAGAGTAGCTCAACAAGGCAGAGAGGGAGGGGCTTATAAACCGGTGTGAGCCCCCTTCGGTTGGCGAGGTAGGACTAAACTCTGGCCGCAACGAGGACCACCCCTTTAGTCCCGGTTCCTTCCATCAACCGGGACTAAAGGGCTGCTTTTGGTCCCGGTTCAAGCCACCAACCGGGACCAATGGTGGTGGGCCAGGAGCAAGGACCATTGGTCCCGGTTCGTCCCACCAACCGGGACCAAAAGGTCCAGACAAACCGGGACCAATGGCCCACGTGGCCCGGCCGGGAAACGGGTCCAATGCCCCCATTGGTCCCGGTTCTGGGTTGAACCGGGACTAATGGGTTGGACCGGCCTGGACCATTGGCCCCTTTTCTACTAGTGAGCCAATTGTGCTGACTGGAAAAGAACTGATCTAGCCAGCCATTAATAAGATCACTAGATCGTTGATGGCGAGTGTTGCCGCACCCGTCTACTTAGACACTTATTTTTTAGTGATATGAAACAATTTGCATGCTTTCAACGCTTTGAAGTATTGTGCTTTCTTTCTGTTGTGCTTGTCTCCTTTATTTTCCAAAACAACGGTAACTAATTGAAAATAGGAATCCAATTGGTTGAAAGAAAGTAGTTTCTTGAGATTTTTTCTTAGGGCTAATGAGTTGGTTCTGGTTCTAGTTCAAGCTTTGTCCGTTCATGGTTGTGATCTCTTTTGATCCTAAAAATGTCTCTCACCTCCCAAAGGCTTGATACACGACACCTAAAATAACACACATGACAATGAAAAATAGTACAAGAATATTTGAGAAAAATAAAATAAGAAATCAATGGGTACAAAAAATAAAAAAAATTGAACTTCTCAGAAATCTAAACAATACAATACATCTCTAGCATTGGCTAGATGTTCGATGTTGATAAATTATACATTTTGTTCTAACAGACAATGGTTCCACAAGCCCCTATTCTACATGCTAATTTTCAATTCCTTGCTATTTTTTCTAGCTAAATCTCAGTCACCTAAACCTGCACACTGACACTGCTAACCTCAAAATTATCTTTGAAAATGCACAACTTTAGTGAAACGTTGGTACATTATTTATTTATTAGTTATATTCGGAGTGAGTTGATGAGAGAATATGGTTGAAATGTTCTACTAGTATGTTTAATATGTAGCGGGGAGATTTACTTGAATCAGTGCATATTTTGCCAGCTAACTATATTATTTCACAAATCCACATCTACCGCAAACTTATCTTAAATCAGTGGTGGCAATTGCTCCAATTCGTTTCTCTGATGTACATAAGATTTGCCATTTATTTCTTCACGTGTGTGGAAGGTTGGTAATAGTAATCAAAGAGGATGTTGCTAAGGAGGAACTCATGCTTAAAAGGACTGTGCATAAAGAAAACAAGGCCTCGAATTATGTAATATCATTACTATTCTTCAGTAAACTTGGTGCTCATTAATGTAATAAAAGGATAGAGCGGTCATTTCATAAGGTAAGATAAAAGCAAGTAGTAATTAGCAAAGGTTTAAGATTCATATCAAGATTAGTAGAATAAAGTGCTATGGTTGAAAGAGTGGAAATTGCATCAAGAGTCCACATGGCCTAGTTAAATTACTGATTTGAATTTTTCTCTTGATTTCAGCGGATACTATCATCAGAAAATTACTTTGTTGGTTCAAGCTTAGCTTTTCAAGTGGTTCCTCTACCAATTGTTATGTATACCACGCTGCAAAGATATATATGACGACTATGCAAATATGAATACTTGTATCACAGGATAAACATCCGCCAGAGAGAGACCAGCTGTGACGTCTTTAATTACCTGTCTTACATGGAGGGGCACCACATGGGATTTAGAACTAGTCTAGAACAAGAGCTGGAATTCGTTTTTTTGCTTGGTACAAACAAACTCACACAAGTAACAAGACTCTTCTACTTGTGATAAAATGAGCAATTATTTAGTGAGTAAGATCAAGCCCAATTGCTGATAAAGATTTAAGATTCATATCAAAATAAATGAAGGAAAATAATAATGTTGGAGAGCATGTAGCTAGCTTTAAGCTTCCTACTATCTTGACTTTTCTGATTAAACATTACTTGGTTCAAGCTTAGATTTTCACCTAGTTTTGCCCATTTACAAAGGTAATATAATCTATCCCATGATGACAAAAGTCCTGCGATGGTGTTAGATGGAGGGGAACAATTTTGGATAGGACATAAATCAAGAAAAGAGAGATGGATCTAGCATCGAGAACTTTGTATATTTAACCGTACTCCATAGCTTGATTTCAAAGACCTTCATGTGATGTGACTCCTTCGATGGATCATACTGACCTTGAAATACCCTCTTAAAAACTCTTGAACTGATCGAAATTAATACCCCCCCCCCCTAATTTAAAGACAGCTAACCGGTACCTCTACTGGCCAACTTTAATTGATTAACATGTTCCTACCAGACTGGAATCTGTGTCTCTTTAACTTGCAGAGTTCAACTCTGAATCTCTTACAATGTCTTCATGCACGTGCCTTCTGACCTGGAATGCAGCTTGCCTCATCTGAACACTGGTAATGTTGTGTTACTGCTGATCTTTTGTTCACAAGAACAAGCACACATATGGTATAGGCAAGCAACAAAAAAAAAGAATCAGTTATGTTGCTATGAACAATAATACTGCAGTTTTTTTTGCATTACAAGAACAATAATTACACTAAAATTGCACTTTTTTTGCATTACGCAAAGAATAAACATATAATACTGCAGTTTTTTTCATACATTTTATAGTAATTGTGTGTTTACATTTACACTAACGCAACATCCAAAAATACCCACAAAAGAAAAACACGGCTAATAAATAAAAATGAAAAACAGTAGGAAAACAAATAAAAACAAAAATACAAAGAACAAAGCAAGGGAGGGAATGAATTGACTGACCCAAATATGTGGTCAGTAGAAAAAAGAGGCTAAAACAACTCAGAGAACATAATAGGAACAAAGGAAGCACAAATCTCAAATCAGAAATCAGTGGCCAAAAATATCAACTGACCCAAAATCAATTTTCAGTCGACTTACATATTGCTTAAATGATGCCAAGAATACTCATACACGAAATAACCATGTAAAAAGAAAAACCTACTAAAAAATATAAAGAAAAGCAAAAGCTAAACGCATACAAAAAAAATAGGCAATGTGTAACAGGCTTCAACCCCAATAGGAAAATCGACTTACCCAAACAGGGGCAAGTCAAAAATTCAGCCTAAGCAAAAAAATTGACTTATCCCAAACAGGGGCAAGTCAAAAATTAATGTATAATAGTTTCTAAGAAAATAGTGTAAGAATAACGAAACAACATAGGAAAGAAAACATCACAAATCTTGACAAAAAAATCAACTGTCCAAAAAATGACTTACCTAAATTTAAAATATCAGGCGACCTGATTTTATATAAAAATTTGGTGTTGCTAAATATTAGTTGACTGAGACTTGGTCTGGTCTCAATCGATTATATATTCGTGAGATCATGTATGAAGATTCGTGCAACTAGTGTAAAAAAAGTCTTACATTATGAGGCGGAGGGAGTATTTCTTTTTTATCTAGCATTATATTACTTGATTGAGACTTGGTTAAGTCTCAGTCAACTGAGACCTAGCCATACCGTAATTTATTTAATCAAGTCTACATAAGAAGAAAAAAGGAAAAGTGATAATGAATTTTTCTGCACGAATCTCCATGCTAGATCAAAAGAATATAGTATCGACCGTGACATAACGAAGTGTCAGTCGACTGAGACTTAGCAAAACTGTAAAATTTAACAATAACAGGTAGTTAAATGATGTGGTAACCTTTATAGTAGCTCCCATTACAATGATTTGAGAGGGCATATATGTGGAGATTATTCGTTCCCAGCCGGCCGGTCCAGCCGATCCTTAATTTTCTTTCCAACATGTATACGTTTCTTCCGTCGTTGTTCTTTTGAGAGGGGTTAACTAGCCCCCATATGCATGCTTAGTTATATTCCACCAGAGCAAAAAAGAAAATCGATCGCCAAGAATTACAACAACAGTAACACAATTACACAACACACAAGAATGGAGCACGTACATATACATACAATAATGGAAACAATCTCATGGCCTAGACCTCCTCGTGTACATCACTCATTTCATATCTGTCAATGGATTAATTAGTTGGATCAGGACTTCAGGCGGGGAGGTAGGACGGCGGCATCGGCAGGCCGACGACCTTCCCGCAGCGGAGGGCGTTCTCTGGCATGTTGTACTCGTCGCGCAGCGACCTCGCCGGCGAGACGACGCTCATGTAGAGCTGCTCCCCGAGGTAGTGCCTCTCCCACAGGTTGGTCCTCACGTTCCACATCCCCGCGTTGTCGAACGTCAGCATCACCGCCGACCACGACCGCGGGTACACCTGGATCGTGTGCCTGCTCACCGCGTCCAGCAGGTTGTACGTCTTCCTCTCCGCCGGCGTCCACTTCCCCGGCCCCATCCTGCAATAATCACATGCATCAACTCCATTTCCATTCCATCGGCGCCGCCGCCCGTACATGCAATGCATGCATGAGTACAAGAAGGGTTACCCGACGGCGAAGAAGGCGTAGCCGTCGATGTGGACGGACTCCATGCTCTTCTCGGGGTTCTCGAAGACGACCTCGATGAAGGTGCGGAACTCGGCGCTGATGACGTTGGGCACGACGTGCATGGGGCCGTTCACGGCAGGGGGTTCGTCGCCCATCTGGTTGTACTTGAACACCTGGTCGCTGACGTTGAAGTACTCGGCGAGCTTCAGGGGTGTGTCGGCGTCCACGTGGGACACGCCGTTGAAGCCGTACCTGAGCTTGCCGTCGATGTGGCCGCGGGTGACCATGAGCTTGATGGTGCGGGTGATGTTGATCTGGCCGTAGTGGTAGGACCCCTGCGGGTTGGGACGCGCCGCGCTGGCCGTCAGGTTCCACCGGAAGGACCTCCACTGGTTGATCGACCAGGCCCAGCCGGCCGGCGGCTCCGGGACGTTAGCCGCCGGCGGGGTGTTGGAGCCGGCGTAGCGGATGACGGCGGAGACGGAGCTGGGGCCAGCCATGAACCTGGTGGAGGCCACCATGAGGTAGTCCGCGGGCTTCTGGTCGGCGTCGACGAGGACGGCCATGCACTGGCCCACGTGCACGTCGAGCGACTCGTACATGCCCTGTATCGTGTGGGAGCCGTCCATCTCCACGAGCTTCATGTCGTGGCCCTGGATGCGGAAGTTGAGCGACGACTTGATGCCGACGTTGCAGATGCGGAGTTGGTACGTCTTGGCGGCCTCCCAGGTGAACATGGGCGGGTCGGCCGCCTCCTTGCCGCCCCTGCCGTTGATGAGCACGCCCGCGGGGCGGCCGAAGTTGCGGCCGGCGTCGAGGAGGCTGGCCATGACGGCGTGGTCCTTGGTGAACCAGTCGCCGATGAGGACCTGCAGGTCGTCGGCGGGCGGGTCGTAGGGGACCGGGATGAGGAGGCGGCTGACGACGCTGATGAGGCCGAAGCCGCCGACGACGCGCTGCATGCCGATGGAGGGGAAGTAGAAGAAGGTGCCGATCTGGTCCTTGGGCTGCCAGTGGTAGGTGTAATTGGTGCCGGGGGCGACGGGGCAGTTGGTGCCCGGGAGGCCGTCCTGCCACGAGTTCTTGCGGTGCTGGATGCCGTTCCAGGTGAAGAGGAGCGGCTGGTCCAGCTCGTTGAAGACGTTGACGACGATGTTGTTGTTGGAGGAGCAGTTGATCCGGGGGCCCGGGAACTCGCCGTTGATGAGGATCACCTTCTGCGGCGTGCCCACGATGTTCTTGGTCCCGTACGTCACGTGCCACTCCATGAACACGTACGGGTCCTCGGCCCGGGCCACCGTCGTGGACAGCAGCAGCAGCGCCAGCAGGAGGACGGCCCCCGCCGCCGTCCCGCGCATTGTCATCGTCGTCGCCATCAAGATCAGGATCGGTGGCAGCAGGCGGGCGGGCTAGCTGGACGGCCTGGCGAGCGCTATATATCAAGTTCTGCTCTCTACATCACAAAATACGAACACATTCGAATGAATTGATCGGAAACCGCATGCATCCGACGACGATTTGTAGGCATGCCTTTGATGAATGATGCATGTATGCTGGGTGCGTGCGTACCTTGAAGGATTGTAATGTAGGAGTTGCGGGCGGCGGGATAGGTGGGACTATGAGGAGGCCATGGAAGACGTCCCCTGGTTGTCGTAGGGGTAGGACGGTGAAGGATGGGCAGGAAGGAGACCGGGGAGGTCAACCGGGGAGCTTCGGGGTGACGAGGGGACGCCGGGGCAGGGACTTATAGCTGCCGCCGCGCATGGCGGGGCAAAGGAGCGGTGCCGAGGAATGGCCGGACGCAGGCATGCAGTGTGTCTGTCTTGCCGCCGTTGCCGCTCTGTCCCTGTTTAGATCCGTTCCAGCGTCTCCCCAGCCAGTTCGGGCCAGGGCAGCCCAGCACGCACATAGCTGCAGCCAGCCTTAGATCATGCCATGTTGACAGGTTTTGGCGCAGAAATGCCTTTTTGTGCTCGAGCTACATGGAGGTCCTTTTTTTGAAAAATTAAAAAAATGTTTGAATGATTCAAAAAAATTTGACGAAAAAGGAATCCAGAATATCATACAGATGCATACTCCATGTGTGCAAATTTTTATGACAAAATACATTGACACGCGAGCTCCACAAAAAAGACAAACTAATGATTTTGAACACACAGTGAATAGTGTGTGCTCTGTTCACTATATAAAAGCAACGAATTTTCACTCTCTTTTTTGTGTGTATCTCACAAATTAATGTATTTTCTCATGAAATTTTGCACATGTGTAGTACGCATCCATATGTCAATGTAATTTTTTCAGAATTTTTTAAATTTTAAAATGTGATTTTTTGAATGTTTCATAAAAGGTGCTCCATGTAGCCCGAACACCAAACCACTGCACTCGGTTTTGGCGTGCTTTTGTTTGAAGTAACTTGTACTCCCTTCGTTCCTAAATAATTGTCCTTTTAGTGATTTCAAATGGACTACTACATACAAATGTATATAAACATATTTTAGAGTGTAGATTTACTTTTTTTGCTCTGTATGTAGTCACTTGTTGAAATCTCTAGAAAGACAAATATTTAGGAACGAGGGAGTACTTCTCACGGTAGTATACATGTGCTTCACATGACAATAAACTTGTATCTGGCACGCTGTTCACATAACAGTTTTGCCCAGGCAGTACACATGCACACACTATGCATTATGTGAGGAAAAACTGAAAAGCGATGCTAGAAGAAAGAAAAAAACGCCAGGCGTCAGCCAGCCGATCCTTCATGTGGGATCAATCCCCTTGCAGCAATCAATTGCTTCACACATCACCATCCGCAGCACTAACACAGTAACACGCTATGTAGCACCAAGAAGCACCCCCTAACGGCACCTTCTCGCCTTGCAGCACCTAGATGTCGTCTCACGACATCGAGCTGCCGGCTCCTAGCACACATCATCGGCACGCCCATCGCACAGTTGAGAAAGCATGCTGGCAATCCCGGCCTTGCAGCACTGAGCAGTCGGGATTGCAACACCGGTGATCGGGCTCTAGCATCAAGCGCTTCGGCTAGCAACAATGCACGGTGGAGAGGGGTTTGCGACATGGTGTCTAGGCTCCCCAGTGCAAAGCCCAAAAGCTTGCAGCAATGCATGACAGAGGAGAGAGGCCTTGTAGCACTAGCTCGTCCTCGCAGCACCAGTGCCCAGTCTGCAACAC